CCGCCAGCGAGTGCTTCGTCCCCGAGGCGCAGGTCGCCCAAAGCCCCGACGCACAGGGAGGTGCCCACAAGGTCTCCAAGGAGAGCGGCCACCAGGTAGCTTGCAGCATAATCTGGTTGTTTTCACTGTGGGCTGTTACCTTGGCTTCTTATTCTCCCTGGGCTGATGTCAGCTCCTAGGGCAGGGGTAGGCAGCGTTTTTTGGCCAGAGTGCTGAAACCCCACCCCCCTGCCTACCTTGGAAGGTGCCGGAGTGCCGGCATGCCAGAAAAACAAAATGAGGGCAGGGGGTACGTCAAGATGCCCTGCTTGTGCCCTTTGCCCCACAGTCCTGCTGCCCCTTGCCCCCCGCCTAAAGCACCTGCCCCCCAGCCCCGGGCTCTGTGGCTGTCAACAGCTATCCTGGCTCTGGGTAGCTGCTGGAGTCCCAGCTGCCTGCTAGGAGCAGCCCGGGCTCCCGGCTGGCAGCAGCTATCTAGAGCTGGGGCCGGCTGCAGCCAGGAGGCTGCAAACCGCTGTGCCGGGCTCCAGAGCTCCGGCATCAGTTCTGTACCAACGCGCGCACACGCGCCTCGGAGCGGGCAGTGGGGGAGGGGCCTGAGGCAGCGCAACCCCGGTTGCTCCCCCGCTCCCGACACAGAGCTGGTGTCTGGGCTCCGGAGCCCGGCACAGATGTTTGTAGCCAGCTTGGGCTCTGGGCAGCTGCAGCGGGCAGGCTGTAAACAGCTGTGCCGGGCTCCACAGCTCTGGCATCAGCTCCGTGCTGGCAATGACTGCACACACACCTCGGGGCAGGCAGCAGGGCAGTGCAGTCCACCCTGAGGTGGGCATTTGGAGGCGGGGGGTGCCCCATGCATGTACGTGTGCATGCACATCTGGCTGGCATACAGCCAGGCAGGGTGGTGGGAGCAGCCTTGGCAGCTGGATATAGGTAAGTCTATGGGGAGTAGGGGTTGGAGGGCCAGGCTTGGGGGGCTGTGTGTGGTGTTTGTGTGTACAGTATGTGGGGCACAGGTGGGGGGCAAGGGATGGGGGGCAGGCATCTGCCAGTGCTGGGGGTAGATGTCCAGGTGCCAGGGCTGCAGAGGGGCAGGTGGGTCTGAGGTAGCACTTACAGTAATGTGTACTGGCGCCCTGGGCAAACCAAATTGGAGGCTACAGAGGGGTGAGGAAGGAGTGCCTTCCTCTCTCTGTGCTGGCAGGGGAGGCTGAGTGGACCCTATTGGGCTGGGGGTCATGGGGTACATGTCTGCCTCTTCTCCCTGCTACCTCCCCCTCCCCTGCAATGGGCAAACATGCATTCGCGCGCGCACATGCACACACACATACAGGCATGCACACAGACGGGCGTGCGCTCTACTCTCTTACTCTCTGCACATGAACACACAGACACAAGCATATTCTCCCCTCCATGAACACAGACACATGTATGTGCGAGTGCATGCAGACACATGCATGTGCACAGACACACTCACACAGACGGGCATGCACTGTACTCACTCACTGTCTGCGCATGGATACACAGAAACAAACATACTTTCCCTGCCATGAACGCAGACATGCACACACAGACATGCATGTGCACAGACCCACACATGCAGACGGGCGCACACTCTACTCACTGTTTGCACATGGACAGAGACATACTCTCCCTGCCATGAACACAGAATGCATGCACACACAGACATGCATTCACACACAGACACACACACACATGCAGAAACATGTAGACAGACATGCATGCTACTCACTCACACTCTGCACATGGACACACAGAGACAAACACACTTTCCCTCCTGCCATGAACACGGACACCTGCACGCACAGACACAGATGGGTGTGTAGTCTGTTCACTCAGTCTCTGCACATGGAGACACTAACACATTCTCCTTGCCATGAACACAGACACATGCACAGTGTCACACACAGATGCATGCACATATAGACACACGCATGTAGATGGGTGCTCACTCTACTGACTCTCTGCACGTGGATACACAGAGACAAACACACTCTCCTTCCTGCCATGAACATGCACACATGCACACTTACGCGTAGGGCCATCCCAAGGGGGTTGTGAATCAAGGCAACCACTCCGGGCCTCACGCTTTAGGGGACCATACGGAGCTGGGTGGAGCAGCTTTGGTGACTCCGTGCTGCCGCCAGCTTCTCATCTGGTCACTTGGCACTGCACTCCCCCTGCCACCGAATCTGTTGCTGGCTTCCTTGCGTCCAGGGGTGGGGCCCCTACAGGCTGATTTGCCTTGGGCCCCGCACCCTGTTTGGGTCGCCTCTGCACACACGCATGTATGCACGCACAGATGCACGCAGACACATGCATGCACACACACAGACAGGCATGCACTCTACTCACTCACTCTGCACATGGACACTGACACAAATACACTTTCCCTGCCGTGAACACGCATGCACGCATGCAGACACATGCACGCGGACGGGTACGCACTCTACTTCTCCTCTGCACATGACACACACAGACAAATGCACTGTACCTGCCATGAACACAGATGCACACAGCTGTGTGCAGACGCACAGTGATGCGCGCACACACGTGCACACAGACGTACACACACTCAGGTTCACACACACATGCAAGTACACAGAGATGCACACGTATGCGCGCACACGCACACCCAGCCACATACCTTCCACCCCCAGCCACCTGCAGCTCCATCTCGCTCACCACTGCCCCTGCTGTACTGACCAGCAGGGAGTTGTTGCCAGGCTGTGTCCCTGTGGCCCCGCATGGGGCCAAGCCGGCTCAGGATGGGAGCGCCGCACTGCACCTCTCCTGTGGGTGGCAGTGCTAGGAGGACCAGCTACAGGGGGTAACTTGGATTTTGGGGGAATATGCCCCACCCTAGCACCGCTGCCTGCCTTGCTGCACAGCACAGCATGGCACTCCTGGCCTGCCCCCCTCCCTGCATGGTGCAGCGCTACGCTGCACTGCACTCCTGGCTGGCCTGGCCTCAGCCCGGCCCCAGCATGCCCACCCCACCGCTCTGCTCTGGCCCCACTCTCCCCCCCTCCCCACCTATTT